GGCACATTCGGACACATTTAGGTAAGGACGTGTAACTGCCTCTGTGTTGGTGCGGACACTCGTGCTATTATAATATCTGTTGCGCAAAGAGCTTTTGATAGTAGACATTCGAAAGTTGTTACCTAGACTTCATCGTAAATCGATCAACAGGCATCATCATACTGTGAATGAGTAAAGTTACAGCCTTAGAGTATACATAAGAATAGAGGTAACAGCCATTAAAGTTCATCTTATTTCCAAATGGGTTACGGAGCAATTAGTCCAACCGTGCTGCTGTAGTGTTTGTTAGCGAACTTCACGTAAGATTGCAAAATGTAAAAGGTTAAATTATATATCTACATTTTGTGGATAGTTATGATAGTTGGGAGTTTTCGAATAGTTTCATTTATGGCAAATCCTACCTCTACCGCGTAGTGGCGGTGTAAGAATATCCACTACTCCATATCGCCCCGTGGGTGTCGTTAGAAGAAATAGAAGAAAATAAACCAGGAGATGGGCAGCAGCGTCTACCTAATAACAACTGAAAAATAAAACCCGCCTGCTAATATGACCTCTATGAGGCAATCTATGGGAGAGGCCTTAGACCAGCAGTGGACCATTTTTTTATCGTGACCGTAATCACCATTGTGCTAAGCCGAATGACGGTCGCAGTACTAGTAGCTTGCTGCTGTTTTAATGCTACATATTGGCAACCATGGGACTTTTCTGGCATTACCCACAGTCCTGCACACCTTACGACACCCTCGGAACGTAAATAGGATGATGGATTTTTTTTATCTCGCCACATTGCATCAGAGGTAATAAGACAAAGTTAATGTTAGATACACCTAGCTCCTAGGCTAACATCGTTGTGACCGGAAGGCGGTATAAACATCCCGTATAATATTATGGATGTAAATACGATGATATGATAGTTTCCTCCTGACCAAGTCATATGATATGATGCACTCTCTATTCCCTTACTCTCATAGCTCGATGGGACGGCAATCCGACACGACCGGCTATCAGACGCAGAACCAACGTCTTCACGTGCTTTTGGAAGCACGAGAGTGAAACATTTTCCTTACTCCGCGCTGCTACTGACGATTTCTAGACAGCAAACACCAAAAATTTTTTTTTGGCCCGACTCGGAATTTAAACACGGTACCTCATGTTCAGCAGTCGCGCTTAAGACCACTAGACCAATGACCAGCTAGACTAGACGGTATGACACTTCAAGCACTTACATCGCCAATCCACCTTTCGATTAAGCATAGTAAAGTAAAAAAGTAAAGTTACAGCCTATATACGTCCCACTGCTGGGTACAGACCTCCTCTCACTTCTGAGAGGGTTTAGGGCAATGAAATATCCGCCACGCTGCCCCAGTGCGTGTTGGCGGATTTCACATGTCTTTGAAGTATTTTTTTTATATCGCAGACATGCGGGATTCCTCGCGATGTTTTCCTTCACCGCCGAGCACGCGGTAAATCAGCACATAAAGCAAGCGCTAAGCGCCTGAGCTACCACGGCTCCGTATTTCGAATATTAAGTTAAGTCATTCGGCTAATTGTCGCTATTATAGAAGTGGCAGAGTAGACCTATAACCAGGAGTAGATCATTTAGAGGCTAATGATAAGGAAGAAGAAATTATCATTACACCTTTCTTAAAGGCCGGCTACGCATCTGCAATTCCCCTGGTGTTGCGGTTGTTCATGGGCGGCGGTAGTCACTTACCATCAGTGAGCCGCATGCTCGTTTGCCCCCTCTTCTATAAAAAAAATCATAAAATTTAAAATCCATTGTTTTAGTATCCTTCTTATCTACATCAGATTTTTAAAACAATATTAATTTACTTCTTCTTGTCCCTACCAAATTTATGGGTCGGCATAGCTGTCCTTCTCTTCCATTCTCCTCCTCCAGTATTCATCTCCTCACTCACTCCTTTCTTAAGCATATGACACAGTCTATCCATCTTTTCTTAGAAACAGAAACTTTTTTATTCAGTAGATATAGATTATAAATAATACTTATTGAAAGTCACTCTTTTGTTTAATTACCACTGGCTCGGAAAAAACCTCTGTCCTAGGAAGAACCGGCAAGAAACCCAGCTGGACTTTAAAATAACGGCTTACAATCATGTATATTACACAATTAACAACACAAAACAAATAAGAAATAGGTAGGCCTGACCATACTGTTATATTCATCCACTTCATATCCTATGTTGTGCTTGTTATATGATTTTCTGCCGATATATTAAATGATAAGAACGGTGTATTAATACGTTATACATACACGTTGCAGTCAAAACTAACAACCGGTCAAAACCACTTATGACTGCGAATGATCGGGCAAAAGTAGTTTTGACTAAGGATGTTAGTCAATACACTTTTAACTGATTTTTGCAGTCAAAAGTTGTTTTGACTGAGGACATTAGTCAAAACCATTTTTAAACGCATAAATATTGGGTTATAGTGATTTTAACTAAATTACATCGGTTAAATGTGGTTTTTACCAAGAATATTAGTCAAAACTGCTTTTGAGTTATACCTCTTGAATTTCTGAAATTAAAAGGTTCAATTCCTTCAGTATTATATTTTATATGATTATAATGTACGTGGCTTTAGTGTGGCCCAAGGGCCACCCCAGCCGCACCTTAACCTACCGTCACTGATACTGTGAGTTTTCACCGATAGTCTGAACTTTAATTGAGGCAAAATTACTTTTGATCAACGTCCTTAGTCAAGACTTTAGACTGCAAAAAATCAGTTAAAAGTGGTATTGACCAACATCCTTAGTCAAAACTACTTTTGCCCGATTATTCGCAGTCAAAATTGGTTTTGACCGGTTATGACTTTTGACTGTGACATATATAAGGAGTAGGCATCAATTTTTATTAATGCATAAATGACGCCTTCAGCCAATTATAGCTACCTACTTGATAACAGTAAACTATATTTTATGAGACAGCATATAAATATTAATTTCCATGTGTTGTTTTAGAACCATGTTTAGAATACCTGTTTGGTAATAAGCTAAAAACACTTTATCAATAGATAATTTTATCTTAAACGTTTGCATTTTTAAGCGTTAAGAGCCAGACAGATGTCTGGGTCGCAGCAGCAAGTTTGTTACCATTATCACTAACATACATAAATAAGTTGCTCTCGACAAGCTTTTAAGGTAAATAATTATCTACCTAAATACTTTTTTCTATCCAACCATTCAACATACATCGGAAGCCACAAGATGGACTTTTCTTTTAGTTGCATTCGATACTTACGAGATAAGATGGGGATTCAATCCATTTGAGCCTTTCAAAAGTACACTGCTGAACATGAGCCTAATTATCTCATAGACGGAAAGAAGAAGGAGACGTCTCCGTACATTCTCGGGCCCAAGTGTTAACAAGATGAAAGTAGAACCATTTGAAAGCGTATATATAAACAATTAATAGCTGAAACTCTGGCAAGATTTGTCAATCTAGGAGCTGAGTTATTGTAGAATAAGTAAAAGAGAAATTATCTATTATCTACACTATAACAGGTGATTTTCACTGTTATTACACTGTAACAGGCTATTTTTCACTATAATTACTTAAAGATATAAAAGCAGGATCAGCATAAAATCACCACCAAAAAAGCTGTGGGAGAGAGGTTCCCGGGGCGACAAGTATAAAATTGTTTGTACACGCTGATCGCGGCTGCCGCCACCACTGTGCTTCGACCTCCGATATATAACTTCCGATTAAAATTTAACGGAACCGAAATCGGAATCGAAAGTGCAAAATCAATCGAAATTCCGAACTTTCGGAATCGGAATCGAACCTCCGTAACATCTCTAGTTTACTCTTTAATGTTTTACACATTTTTAACTCTCTTTTTTATTTTTCTTCTTTTGGTTTGGTTTGGTTTTTTTTTAATCCAATTAATATAAAAATTATAACTATTAGTACAGAAAGAAACATTAACCTTTACTTACATTTTCTGAACAAATTAACTTCCTCGCTATGACATCTGTCAAATGTTACATACACCCTTAGAATATTTTTATGTGAGCTAATTACATCTCATTTTGAATTGGCGGCGCCCTGGTGGTAGAAAAAGTCGTGGATCCTGTCGTTGTCAAGAGACATATTATGTAATTCGCGTAGAAATAAAAAAAATATTTACAAGGTGACATAACCAAATGAATTAATTGACGTGTGATGATTGCGTGTAAAAATTAATTTCGTGCAGTCAATGCCGTAACTGGCGACTTGGGAAATTATAGCTAGACAGGTAGAATTAGAGCTATATATATGTTATAACTAGTATTCTTATGGATTCCGATAGCAAAGTCGCTTACGTCAGAAATAAAATACCCAGACCAAAGACGGGCAGAAGCGTCAAGGACGTAAGACATCTGGTGCTGCAATCGGCAGTTACGTGGCAGCAGCCTTTTACGTGTTGGAGCCGCGAATGGGTCGGCTCGACCGAGGAAGGACCACGCTCTCACATAATGTCAGCGCAAAATAGCAGCTTAATACTGCTATGTTTCGTATAGTGAATGTAAAGAACCGGAGACTTTACTGGAAACGAGGCATTCCATCTTAGTCCTCAGGGGTGACAACGCATCTGCATTTTGATTCGTAATCGAAGATAAATGTAGATGTTTAGGAGGCACAACATCCACTTACCATCAGGTGGTATGTGTACTCGTTTGCCACTCCCATTCTATAAAAAAGTCCAACAGCCAAGTGTGAAAGTGAAAATCCTTCTTACATCTGAAATACGGACGGAAGAAGTGACCTTTGTCCCGCAGTGGACTTCCATGGCCTGATGAAGAATGGATAAATCAAATACGAAAGAAAATATTATTAGGGAGGGGAGGAATATTTCCACAGTTCTCCTGTTTTATTTTCCCTCTAATGCCCGTTATTTCACTTACTGTATGATATGGACTAGTGAATTCTGTTACGGCGCAATCACACGACACAACTTATTCTACATTTACTGAACACGTTTTTATCTATGTTTAGAGTTCAGAATGTCCAGTGGAGGAGAAACCAAACAGTGAGAAGAGCTATGTGGTGGCTTCGTGGCCCTCAAGCACGCCCGGACACACTGGTTACCTCACCGTCGCCACGCTACCGCCAACGTTTATTAGAAGTAAGTTGAGATAACTATAACTCAAATTCAAAATACCCCAAAATACTTTAAAACAGGTGATTTTGAAACGGCTGAACCTATTTTGATAAAACATGTCTAAAAATCACCGCTAGAAAGTTGGTTTTCTAGCTGTGATTTTTAAATTAAAAAAAAAACATCGCTAAGATCACTCGATTAAGGCAACTTTCAAACAAAAAAAAACTTAAACAAAATCGGTTCATACGTTCAGGAGGTATAATGCCACAGACAAACACACAGATACACACCACAAACACATAACGCCCCTCTGTTTTTGTCGCGAGGTAAAACAAGCTTTATGGTTAAAACAGTAAGAAAGTTAAAAGAAACCGACTGCGTTTAAAAATAAAAACCTTTCTTTTCCCTATTTTTGTATTTGCAGATGCAGTTTATAAACCTTTTTTATAGGATAAGGGTGACAAACAAGCACACATTACCTGATGGTAAGTGGTTGCTGTGGCTCATAGACATCTACATCTATCCTCGTTTGCGAATCAAAATGCAGATGCGTTGTCACAAGTGAGGACTAAGATGGAATGCCTCTTTTCCAGTAAAAAGGGTCTCCGGTTCTCTACACTCACCTTACGAAACACAGCAACGCTAAGCTGCTATTTAACACTGGTATTCTGTGAGTGTGGTCCGTTCCCGGTCGAGCCGACCCATTCGTGCTACAACTATACTAATATAGCTGCAGCATGGCTCTACCACGTATAAAAAACCTTATATATTAAAATCCATCACGCCATTTAGGCTACAGAGCGTGCTAAAGAAATAGGCATACATACATACTCTCGAAACACATTACCCTCCTGAAGCAGTGTAGTAATAAGATAATGAAATACGGTATGTTGTTGAGCACTGAGACCATTTTAGCCCAATGAGGGCTAATAATTTTCTGCTCACCAGATGTCGCTAGTTGACACTGAGGTAAAGTTTTTTGTTACACAATGTCATTTCATTGAAAAGTTAGTTTTAAATAAAAGTTTATCAATTTCTAGAATATTATATTAATATGCAAAACAATGCGTCAGTGGTTGGCTCTTTAACTTTTTTAAATTTTTCTACTTTTATTAATTTCTGTGGCGTCGTTTATTTATTTTTAATGTTATCTATATAAAATATAGCTAATAGTACAGAAAGAAACAATACAAATTAACTCCCCCGCTATGAAATCTGTAAAATATACCCACGACTTTTTCTGCCACCAGGGCGGCGCCACTAGATACCTCACTTTCTAGTGGCGCCGCCCTGGTGGCAAAAGTCGTGGATGCCCTCATTATATAATTCGTATTTCGAAATCATATTATGATACTTGCCCCTATCACTGGCGTGTGGGTACCTAATCAACCGGCAGAATTAGTGCCGCCGCTACTATACTTCGACAAATACCACCAAACAGACCTTAAATTGGCAGTTGTAAAGGATAGCGCTTGTAATTCGTGCCGTTCACTTTGTAATTAGACAATAGATGTAGAAATTATATTACAGTCCCATCCCAGTGGACAGGTCGAAAGCAAAACTAGCGAAGGACGAATTTATATATAAATTATATAAATTAGTAAGATTTTTCTGGCAGTGCCGTGTGTAAGGCTTACACACGCTTACTGTAAACGGCGTAAGAAAGTCCATCATTTCATATCGTATCGTAGGTTTAGGTATCAAAAGAGACAACCGAAAAGGAAATGCAATAAATATATTATATGAAACCTTGTAGCTTCCGACTAATTGATTCATCACGGTCCAGAGTCGCCTGCATCCATCGAAAGGAGAAAGTTCTCGTGCCGGTAATCGCAATATATAATGGCCCACCAACTGTTAAAAATGGACCTCAATTAAAAAAGTCTGGATCTGTTTAACCACCAAACAAAACACTACAGTTCGTGGTAGTTTACGCAGGTTGTCTTTTTTGGTATCTATTAAATATGTTTTGAAACTACCGTTTTTTTTTTCAGAAAAATCTAATTCGATAAAACCGGATTCGGCCATCGAAACTCAGTCGGATGAATTGTGGCAAGTAACGAGTAATGAAGCGATGGCCGTCGACGTAGCAGCCACATGAAGACTCCATTCTTATTTACGAACATGATCAATGTATAGACAATGAAAAAATGTACATCTGTATATTACTATATTGTTTTATTTACTAAAAACTTAAACAACAAACCAAAGCATCAATCTAAGCATCAATTTTATGGTAGAACCTAAAATAAAACAAAAATAAAATTAGATACACCTTTACTAATGGACATAAAGAAAAAATGGCTAAAAACTATTAAAAAGATTACATCAGTTACAAATAAAATAAGAATATATTTATCTTAATATTTACCTTACAAAAGACATTAATTAATGAGATTATTTTAGCCTCTTCACAATATTAGGGATTTTTTAATAATATATGTCTGGCAGTAAAGAATCAGAAGTAAAATATGTAATTTCAACAAACATTTGGCATATACTGGATATTATAATATATATATAGTTTCTGTATATTTCCTATCACAGCTAAAGTCGGCAAACTTTTACATTGCTTTAGTTTTTTTTTTGTTATTTAAAACTATCGAGTTTATGGAAGTACCTCTAGATACATCGCTGTATTGAATGATGTAATGTATTCTAATAATTCCAGTCTGAAAATATTCGGAGCGCATATGGTATACATATATAAAAATCACGTCAGACAACGAAAAGTTTTTTTTTTAATTCACTATTATTAATAAAATTATATCAATAAACACTATGATTTACATCAGCAAGTCCTTCAATATATATTTTGTGTAAAAGCATAGATATACAGTTTATACTTAATCTAAGTGTAAATTATCAATGACTATTACAATGGTACGACCATGACAAACAAATAAACCTTTGCAATATGCGAGTAACACTGCGGAGTTCCTAAGATATTTCGCGGAGTATGTTATTGTTGAAAATACTTTTTGTTCAATTATGAACAAAATAATAAATATATGAATTATATTTATAAAAAAATGCGACAAATCTAATATGTAACGACGCATTAATATTGAGAATACTGTTGCTTTAATAATAAGATATCCATTACTTTTATTTTAGATTTTAAATTAAATAGAAAAAAGACTAATCTGTAAATAAAGGTAATTCATTCCGACATTAGATATTTTTGATGGATTTTGTCTCATACTCATCAAAAATCTACGTAAAATACTTTAAAGAACGTATACGTAAGAATAAAAAGTATATACCTACTTATTACCATTTTACTAAAGTTACTAGATTAAATACTAGAATAAATGAGGTGGAAAGCAGCTTGGAAATAATCATAAACTGATATATACTCTGAAATTTTGGTAAATTCATATATGCTGCTATAGGTAGATGGTTTTTGATACTTTCCTAACACCGGCTCTACTCGGATCACCCAACCCTCGAACGAAACTTTTGACATTCCTATAAGAGGGTTGGTTCGGCCTTGGTTGGTTTCCTTACGTTGGTTGCCTTACGAACGGACTTTTGTGGCGATAAATCGTTTAAACTGTTTTATTTCGTTTCAAAATAATAACCAAGCAAAATCTCGATTTTCAGTCAGGTTTTTTAATTTTAAATCTTCTATACATGGGCATGGACATGGTTAATGGTTAAAACGAGTTTACTCAGGATCGGGTGAACGTGTAGAATAGCAGGATGATTGCGTAGTGTCAAGGTAAGGATTATCTATGGAAGGATTATCTCTGTGTATGAAAAAGTGTCCATCGAAATGCGTTTAGTTAGGGTAGCACTACAATAGCAGCGGGGTAAATTTTAACAACAGAAAAATTAATTTGGACTATTTTTATAAGTTAGTTTTATAACAGTTTACACTAAAGAATTACTAAACGTATTTGAAATTCACAAAAATAAAATTACTCTCATTATTTTAGGTTATATTTAAAAAAATATTTTTGGACCACGTGAATAGTTGAAGTTTTGTATATTGTACTGAAACTAACTAGGTACAAAAAATATTTTTTTTAACTCTGCACATTTCAATCCATCTACAACTGCTATATTCATACCATAATCTGTATCTACGCTAGCGCTATTCTGAAAGGTTTTTGAATTGTTATTTATAGCTTACAGCTGGACACTTTTTCATTTTGTCCCCCATACGGGATAGTCCTTCTCACATTTACCCTCCATAGGAATATGACATCAAAGATGTCAATGTCATATTTTATAAAATATAAGGATTGTATATGAAGAAATAAATAAAAAAGATTTCAGTATTTAATTGAAGAAATAATTTAAAATACAAAATTTTGTACAACCGACTTCAATATAAATTATTAAGAATAACTCTAAAACTTTTGGTCAGACCTTGATCAAATTTATATGGGACCACATGAGATGCACCAGTTTTCAAATAAAAAAAAGAATCATCGAAATCGATTCATCCAGAAATAAGTTATGAGGTAACACATAAAGAAAAGAAAAAACATACAGTCGAATTGAGTACCGTCTCCTTTTTGAAGTCGGTAGAAAACGACAGTGGTTCTAGTCTAAACTTATGTATAGGTATATCAAACAACACGATCTAATATTTATTTTACTACTACGATTAATCGTTATTTATTATATAGATTAAAATATTACAAGTACAATAATATATAAGAGATATGTGTAAAATTCGACCTATGTTAATACTTCACCGTTTGTTCATCAAAACAAAGTTCGCGGTTACGTAAATATGGAATCGTTTATAGAAGTCTCAGAATAAAAAGTATTTTATATGATTTAACACAATATTATGTAAATAATTTGTTCAGGCCATTGCATATTACACAAATAACTTATGGCAATTCATTCTGTATATCGAACGAAATAAAAACCACTTATTCTTAGTCAATATATTTTTTCGTTACACATTGTCAGTTCAAGTTATATTATCGATCATATCTTCTATATAAGACAAGAATCCACTCCCAGACATGGACCTCGCCAATTATAGGAGTGATTTGACGTAATGGCTGGGACGTGGGATAGGATCGTATTATGAAATGCCACACACTATAATGGTGACATTCAATAATATATTGAAATGTATTCAAGCGTGTATATAGAATGGCGATAGACATATACCAATCGTGAATGATTCGTTCATTTGATCTGTGTCGCATTAAAGTATTGATTCTTGCAATTACATTTTTGAACGATTCGAATCAAATGATTGGCAGTTCCTACGACCAAAGAGTATACTAATGTCCGACGACCTACATTCTAGAGCGGGTCTCACAGATCACAGAGTACTGATACGAGAAATGATCCATTTGAATGATCGACCCGAATGACCAGGTTTGTAAAACGAATCAATATTTCAATGATCGGGTCAAGAAAAATGAATGAATGACAATGTCTAAATGGTAGTACAATTACCGTGTCGATTACGTAAGGGTTCTAAAACTTGTTAGTTTTCATTTTGTTTTCTACTTATAATTAAAGTTTAAAAAAAGTAAAAACCAACTTCGTGAAAATGAAGAAATAAAAGGAATACAATTACCGAAATTGGTAGACGTGATAAAAAATTATTCGCTCTTAGGTTGTGCAGATGCCTTTGTAAATTAAAGAGTTTGGTGATTTTAACCAAATTTATATGTGACCATCCCTAAAGTACCCCCGTCTAAAAAATAAAGAATTATTGAAATCGGCACACACAAAAGATATTTCGTCGAATTGAAAATCTTCCTAAAAATATATTCAAACTTTTGACTAAAGTAATTATAAACCATCTTGCGAAAAAATCTATAGTTCAGCACCATAATATCTACCGGCTCCACAACGTGTAATAAACATAAAAAGGCTGAATTTAATATTTAATAATAGTTTTAGTATTTTAATATTATAATAAAATTGTTTCGAATTAATTTATTTCTAGTTTGACTACAAGTATAATTAATTAATTTTTATATAGTAAATAAATATATTGAAACCTACTTACAATCACTAAGTTTGCAAAACACTAACGCTCACATACAATAAAACTTTATTTTAAATAGTTATTTTCGTATAGTATTCGTCGTAATACACTTAATTACTAACATATAATCAAAATAGTTAGGAGTAAAAGTAGATTTCAAATTGATTTCAAAGGATGTGGCTTATTGTTTGTAGTAGATTCTTGACAAGTATACAATTTAAGTCTTAGGCAGTTGGAAGTGTTAGGCCATTATCACTCTAAACACTGGAATTATAATATAGCCCAATGACACATAAAGACGCGCACACACGCTAATTCATGAAACAAACAATATTTTTTTATTATTCTAATGCAATGGGTTAGGAATGTTATTTCTACAAATACATTATAACATTATCGCTCAAAATGTAATGTAATATTCGAATTTTAACATTTAAAATTTATTACGATATGACGAATTTTGTCAACTTTAGTAACTGTGACTTCTGTTGGCCTAACATTTTATCTGAAATCGCTGAAATCGGTCTTCAGCTGTATAGTGGGTTTGGCTGGTCGCGACTCAAAGACCGGTCTTTGCGGTTGAGACTGTTTATTGGATCGACTGATCTGGTTCGCTTTCACGGCGTTTTCTAACTTGGTGCGAAGATCGGGCGACTGTTGCATCATTGTTTTGAACTCCTGGAAAAGTTAAATAAGATTTAGTGGCGTAAGTCTCCCGTACCGAACTACAAATCTTAGGTTCTAGTATGAACCTGAACAAACTTTAATTAATATAAAAAATCATATGTTGGTTTCGGATTGAATGTGTGGCGGCGCTGTCGTCGCGCCACAAGCGAAACACATCGAAGCCTAAATCGCGCTAACAAAGTTCCGAAAGTAAAGAAGTATATATAGAATAGCTCCGAACTACCACTCGGAGCGTTGGCCGCTCCCCGGGCATAAACAACTTGCCCGGCGGGAGATCTCCCCTTTTCCTTCCACCGGCTACAAATGTTTGTCTTTGGCCTCGTGTTTGAGACAGACTAGAATAAAATATCATTATTTCAATATGGATGTACGTTACACCTAAGTTGCTGCTGCTAAGATAAATAAAAGATGCTACTTGAGGTAAAACGGTAGATGTACGTACTATTCACAAACTGCTAATAGATAATAATGAGTACCTATACGAACGCGCTGTGTGGCGATGCTATGTGAACCGATTCGATGAACAATAAAAATAAGTAAATGAGGTAATAATACTGATCGGGCGATATATATGGTTGCAAGGTACAATAGGTTACAAGTGATACTTATTGAAGGTCATTTTTTTGCTTTTATCACTGGTTTGCAAAAAGCCTCTGAGAAGAAACAGTAAGGAACCCAGCGAGACATTTTGTTAATAATAATTTACAATGTAAGGTTTACAATTATATCTTAAATTACTTCCTTCGATTTCAGCAATTTGGATTCGAACCACGCCGGCACCAATGAAATTGTTAATTGCAATTTTAAGTGCCGATTTACCACGTGCTCAGCAGTGAAGGAAAACTTCGTGAAGAAACCTGCATGTGTCCAATGGAGTAATTTCTTCATAATCCTCTCGGAAATGAAAGTTCTGTGCCGCAGTGGGACGTATAGGTCGAAAATTCACTTTTTACTTAACTTATACCTTCGATATTTTCACAAGAAGCGTTATGTCAGATGCGGATAGAATTGAACTAGGTAACGGCTTTTGAAGTGCGCATCTACTTATGGCACTATATCTCATGCGCTAACGACAGTTTTCCTGTGATTTGAAGTTATCGCGATGGTATTATTTAGACTTTTTAACATAAAAATAATGTAGCTTGTCGACATCTTGTTCGACTAGATCTTTTTCTGCGTCAGGAATCCGTTTGGTAGTACCTTCTTATCTATTTCCGCCGTCAAACAGCATGCGTGCAGTGCATTGTTCCTGCATGTGTTCATGAATGGCAGTAGGTACTTAGCATCACGTGGATTGCACCAGGGCAGCATGGCCACGAGGATATGTACCTGCGGGTACTTGGGTCCGACGCGCATGAGCCACTGCAGCGCGAACTCGTGCAGCGTGCGCACGTGTGGCGGCGCGCTCGCTAGCTCATTGCCTTCGCGCAGGTACGATATCACTATTGGCACCAGCATACGCAGCAACTGAATGCCTGCAATAAAAATATAATACAACTGAGTGTTTAGTAAATTACAAATCAATTGCACAAATGTCAGCTTCTAAATAAGGCTTTAAATTTTTCTTAATGAGTTCTTATTCAACTCAAAAGTAAACTATTGAAATATAAAGTAATCAATTGTTTCCATAGCCACTCAACAGTCAGAACATCCATCCCAGCTGTGTCAAATATCTATTGTCGGTAACTGTTATCCATTGCGGCGATTCAATGAGGGCTAATAATCTTCCACTCACCAGATGTCGCTTGTTGTGACTGAGGTAAAGTTTTTCGTTACATAGTGTCAGTTAATTAAGAAATTAGTTTTAAATAATAGTTTATCATTATCTAGAGTATTATATTAATATACAACAAAATGCGTCAGTGGTTTGATTTTTAATTTTTTGCACTTTATAACTCTTTTTTTTAATTTATCTACTTTAAGTTATATTTATAGTTTAGTTTATTTATTTCTAATGTAATTAATAAAAAATATAACTAACAATACGGAAAGAAACCTTAAATATTACATTTTCCTAAGAAATTATCGTCCCCGCTATGAAATCTGTCAAATATTTTACCTCACTGTAAAGTGGCGCCGCCCTGGTGGCAGAAAAAGTTGTGGATGCCCTCATTTCCGCCATCTTCCACCATTATGTTTTTTTTTTAATTACTGGAAAGTTACTAGTATATTTCGCTTTTAGTACTAATGTTATATATAATAATATATAAATTTAGATGAGAAAAACATGTTTATTGTATGTTATTGTATAAACCATAAAATTGTTCTCATATATTTAAAGAAAATACAAAATTAAGTAAATATTTCTCCCGGGCAGTGAATATAAGCCGCAATAGTTGCAGCATATAAAAATTGTCGTCATCTTGAAAGATATTGTTGAGGGGGTAAAGGATATTTCGAATCTTTTTTATTCATTTTTACTTATTACTTTCTCACCTTTATGAGGATCCTCTGCAAGACAGCAAAAAAACACAACTAAAATTAATATACTTTAAATTAATTATTAATCATATAATATAATACAAATTATATCATAGATAATATTTTTTTTACTATGATTATCTATGACTGCAAGACGCCTCTTTTCTGAAAAGGTTTACAGTGCTTCTAAAGTTCAACACAATAATACCAGCAGCAGCCGCAACACTTAATAATGTTGCACTTGGATTTTATAAGTTGCTCGTTCTTAATTCTACTTAGCTGTGATAGTTTTACTTTTAACTTCATTATATATTGTTGAGCGCCATTATTAATGCTTGTACATGGCAACACTGGTTACCACTAACGCCCTCTAGTGTCGAGTAGCAGAACTAGGAGAGACAAGATCCTTCTAGAAATTTCGGGACCGATATGTACTCGAACATTCTAGATGTTTCTACAGTAGAAGGTTCTATGGTATAGACCACGACCGATTCGAGTTGAATTGGCGATATAAGCGAATACTTCGAAGCGAAATAACTGCGAATTAAAGTGATCAGTAGTACAATTGCGTTTTATTATTAGTGTGGTTTTAAGTAGTAATTAGTGTTTTATAATTAAAGTGTCAATTTTGGTAATTCAATCGGCAGTTTTTAATTGTCTCGAACCCCAAGCTCGTAACAATTGGCGTCAGAAGTGGAATCAAATCATGCCGATTTTACCAAAGGACGAAATGAAGGGTATCCGTACCCGAAGTTAACGCCAGCTGGAGACGATTTGGTAATGCTACACCGCAAACGTCGGAGGGCCAGCTGCCGACCACGGAGGCCAGCCCGTCAGCAGCTCCTGCATCTGCAGCACCTGACTTAGGTGCTCTGATGATGAAGCTGCAGGAGCAAGCTCGCCGACAGGAGGAACAGATCCGTAGGTTGGAAGAGCAGCTGCAGCGCGGACAGGAGGAACAGGCCCGTTGCTTGAAAGAGCAGCTCAAACGCGACAAGGAAGAGCAGATGCTCCTCATGAAGGACCTTCGGGAAAGAGATAAGGGAGGTGAAGGATAGGGTTGCTCAACATGACAACCGCCTGTCGGAAGCTGAAACCCGAATCATCCAAGGGTACAATCGGGTTGACAACGTGATGGCTGACGTGAAGAAAACCCTGGACGACCTCAAACTTGAGGATGGAGTGACAGCTCCCGTGGTAGCTACAACACCTTCGCTACGCGGATTCAAAGTGCCGCCGTTCGACGGAACTTCTTCCTGGTCGGCCTACAAAATCCAATTCGAGGCTGTCATGAAGGCGAACGGCTGGAATAAAAGTCAGGCCATGACTGCTCTCACCCAAGGCCTGCGCGACCAGGCCTTAACTGTTCTGAAAGCTCTCGGTAAGGAAGTGACTTACTTACGAGCAGCTCCTTGAGGCATTGGAGGCGAGATATGGCGACGCTCACCTGGAACACGTCTTTCATGCGCAGCTCAAAGATCGCATGCAACGCAGTAACGAAACCTTGCAGTAGTGGGCCCTTGAGGTGGAGAAGCTGGTTCGAAAAGCATACCAATCTGTACCTGCGCTCATTGTAGGGAACCTGGTGCAGACATTTATCGACGAAATCCGCGACCTTGAAGTTAGAGTTGCTGTGAGGCTCGGGCAACCCGAGACGCTTAAGGACGCCTTGACCCATGCACTGGAGGTGGAAGCCGTGCGGCAGAATCATCGTTCCCATCGCGTCAGGAAGGTTGCAGCAGCTACAGTTCACGACCGCAATAAAGGATGCTACAGCCCTAGGTGCTACGGCTGTGGGGAATGGGGCAATCTTTGATCCAGCTGCTCTAAGCGAACTGTAGAAAGGGAAGGTGATCGATCTCGAGAGGGTAGTGCGGCTAATAGCACCGCCCAGCAGTAGCAGGGAAACGAGTAAAAGCCAGGACTGCGGGGCGGGTGCTGGCTGATGTTATAAGAGCCCCAAGGATTTTGATCTCACAAACCCATGATGGGAACAGCCTAATCATCAAGGGCGAGGTCAACGGAACGCCGTGTAAACTGACCATAGACACTGGAGTCTCTCGCACGGTTGTCAGTTCCCAACTTATAAGTTAGTTCCTTGGGGACTCCGCATACAATCGAGAACGCATTAATTTGGCGACAACCACTGGTCAGCGCATACCCGTCCGTGGAGAGAAGATGGAGTTGAAGCTAGGCAACATGATCTACCTGCATAATGTCATGACGACTGCATCCTGGGCCTAGACTTTATGAGGAAGAATTGTTGTGAGATCGACGTTAAGCAAGGTGTTTTGAAATGTGGACAAAAGGAACTTTTTGTGGAAGGGGCGTTACCAGGGAATGTGTACAGCCTTAAGAAGATTGTTCTTCCGCCGAGATCGGAAACGATTGTGCTGGTTAGTCTTCCTTGGAATCCTGGGCAAGCTCATTGTTGTGTACTCCTGGAAAGGGTAGACAATGACCTTCCATGGAAAGTGGCTCGAAGAAGTGGTCAGAACCACCGACATCTCAGGAGTACGTGTGTTGAACCTTTGTGATCAGGAACAGATTATAGAAAAAGGCACATTGGTTGGTATTAGTGAGGAAGTGGATTGGTTGCGTCGGTGCCAATATCTATCGACTGGGACCCCCAGCAAGGATGGACAAACGAGAGTGACCACACTTTTAGAAGACTGTCGGAGCGTACTCTTCCCGAATGAAATGGTCACGGCAAAGAAGTTGTTACTCAAGTACGCCGATGTTTCCTTGTCAAACGATGCTGACATAGGAAAGACGGGCTTAGTTCAACACAAAATAAACAACTGAGAAGAATTGCCTACCCGTCAGCGGCCAAGAAAATTGCATGTAGCCCGTGAAAAGGAAGTGGAAACCATGATTGAGGGAATGGTGAAGGATGGTGTTATTGAACTTTCATCTAGTCCATGGTGTTCACCTGTGGTACTGGTAAAGAAGAAGGTAAAGAATCACATGACTAATGAAAAATACCACTTTAAAGCCAAATATTTCGCAAACGGACTTCTGAATTGCAAAAAATGTTGTTCCACATCCACACGGTTTTTGAAAGACCTATCAACTATACCCCACATGGTGGAATAGGCGGGTAAAACAAAATCATCCTCCATGTATTTGTATGGGAAGTACCCAAAATAAAATAGTTTTTAAGATTTTGTTTCAGTTTTCTAATCGTGATTAACTATGTGCCAAATTACAGATTTGTAGCACTTCGCTATGTGAGTAAAAGCGCGGACGGACGGACGGACATGGCGCAACTATAAGGGTTCCTTGTTGTGTAACTACGGAACCCTAAAAGTAAATGAGGAAGCGGTGGGTACTGACGCGCGGGTTCGGGCGCGGCGGCGACGAGGTCGTCGAGCGCGGTGACCGCGGCCACGGCGGCGCGCGCGTGCGCCGCGTCTGCCGGCCGCCGCGCCGCCGCCGCGCGCGCCACCACGCGGGCGCCCAGCGCGCGCGCCCACCACGACACCGCGCCGCCCGCGCCACCACCAGCACCGCCCGCGCCGCCCGACCACACGCCGCGCAGCACCCCGCAGCACGCCGCGAACACCTGGCACCACACGCGAGACACGATCATACTGTTACCGTTAAGCGTGACACACACTACGCACATACGATTATATTATCTATATCATCTCTATCTCAGCGCATATCTTTCAATATCGCTCTCTATGAAATTCAATCAACTAACCATACATATAGTAAACATTAGGTTGGCGATGAAGTGATTAGGATGAAACCAAAAACGAAATGTACCTGTGGTTTTTTTTTAATAGGATAGGGTGACAAACGAGCACACAGTCCACCTGATAGTAAGTGATTGCTGTGACTCATAGACATCTATATCCATCTACGTTTACAAATCTAAATGCAGATACGTTGTCACCCGTGAGAGCTAAGATGAAATGCCTCTTTACCAATAAAGGGTCTCCGGTTCTCTACACTCACCATACAAAACACAGCAGTGTTAAGCTGCTATTTTACGCTGGTATTCTATGAGAGCATAGTCCTTCCCCAGTCGAGCCGACCCATTCGTGCTACAACTATACTACTAATATAGCTGCAGCATAGCTCAACCACGTATAAATATAAATGAAATGTGCATGTATACGAAAATAGTACTGCCCCATGCATCAACTTCTATTATCGATACAGAGCGCTGTGTCCGTATCATAAAAATACAACTACAAACAAAAAAATTATGATTTTTATTTTCCACCATAAATAATTAATTAATTGTAAAAATGTAGTAAACTCTCCTTCGAAATATTTTGCAATTTTGCTTTATAATCAAAAATCCACTGCTGAACATAGGCTTCCCAAACAGACTGACTCATAAGGGTTATATTTGCCATAGATATCAGATTGTCACCCTTGACAGGTGTGGGTTGACAACCTCAGTTTTATTTTTATTTTTTCGATGTTATTAAGAAGACGCTGTTGCACATCGCCTGGTTTGTTATCCTCTATTAACTCTTACAACCTCTATTTATATATATATATATATACGTTCTTTGTGGCATTCTTTGGGGGAGGCCTATGTTCAGCAGTGGACTTGTAAAGGGCTATAATGATGATATATATATATATATATATATATATATATATATATATATATATATGTATATATTATATTGCCGTGTAGTGGCGGTCAAGAATATCCACTACCCCATATCCTCCCGTGGGTGTCGTAAAAGGCGACAAAGGGAAACAGGCAGGAGATGGGCAGCAGCATCTTCCTGATAATAGCCAAATTACAATAAAAAAACTGCGGTTGCCAACCCGCTCGCCAAGCGTGGCAACTATGGCAAATACCCCCCTATGAATGACAGTAACAAAAAAACGGCCCCCAGTCCCCGGCGGCCCCGCTATTCCTGGCTACGGTGGCGACCATGGTAACGGCGGGGCAGGGGGTGCTAAGAATCTCCGGTGGAGGTTCGGTTGCCACCTTAGACGACTCGACCTGGCAACGTACAACGCACGCACCCTGAGGACTGACGAGAAGATCGTGGAGCTGGAAGAAGAGATAGACAAGTTGCGCTGGCATATTATAGGATTATCCGAAGTCCGAAGAGAGGGGGAGGACACGGTAATCCTCGAATCCGGTAACTTGCTCTATCACCGGGAGGGCGACCATCTGTCCCAAGGAGGTGTCGGATTTATCGTCCACAAGTCTCTCGTTAACAACGTTGTAAAGATCGGGAGTGTGTCGACGAGGGTTGCGTACTTTATACTCAGAATCACCAAACGGTATTCGCTGAAGGTCATACAGGTTTACGCACCAACCTCGGCACACCCCGATGAGGAGGTCGAGGAAATGTATGAGGATATCTCTAGAGCCATGCATTCCTCCAAAACCCAATATACGGTGTTAATGGGAGACTTCAATGCAAAACTAGGCACAAGAGAGAACGGTGAGCTGAAAGTAGGGAAATTTGGAATAGGGCAACGGAACCCAAGGGGCCAGCAGCTGGCCGACTTCATGGAGAAAGAGGGACTCTTTATGATGAACTCTTTCTTCCAGAAGCGGCCCCACAGGAAGTGGACCTGGTCGAGCCCCGACGGTTCCACAAAAAATGAGATTGACTTCATTATGACGACCAGACGACAACTGTTCAGTGATGTCTCCGTGATCGCGAGGGTGAAAACTGGTAGCGATCACCGAATGGTTAGAGGCACACTGAACCTAAACGTTAAGTTGGAGAGGTCTCGTCTAATGAAGTCAACGCTCCGTCCCCCTCGTGCTCTGTTCCAAAGTCCCGAAACCTTTCAGCTCGAATTACAAAACCGTTTTCAGTGCCTGGAAAACTGCAATGAAGTGGACGATATGAATGACAAGCTCGTGGAAACTGTCCATGCGGTCGGAGCTAAGTTCTGCAAGACCCGCCGCAGAAGAACACAAAAACTCTCCGATCACACTCTTAATCTCATGGCTGTTAGACGGGAGATGAAGCTACATTCTTCAACAGACTTGACAGCATACAGGCATCTGAACAGACGGATCTCCAAATGCATGCGGCGGGACTTACGCAACTTCAAAACAGCTCGTATTGAAGAAGCGATCGAGCGGAACCAAGGCTCCAAAGTCTTTGCCAGAGATCTGTCTGCCAGAAAGAGCCAACTGTCAAAGCTGAAGACAGAATGTGGCAGCATCGTTTCCGGGACACCTGAGATTTTGGGTGAGATTGAGAGGTTCTATGGGCAGCTGTACACATCATCGTTGGAGCCACACGCAAGTGTGAGTAACGATCCAAGAGCGAGTCTCATCCGACACTATTCCGAAGATATCCCGGATGTCAGTCTGAGCGAGATTAGGATGGCTCTCCAGCACCTTAAAAACGGTAAGGCCCCAGGCGAGGATGGAATTACAGCGGAGCTTCTGAAAGCGGGTGGAAGACCGGTACTTGAAGTCCTTCAGAAGCTCTTTAATTCCGTCCTCCATGGTGGCATTACACCGGAGGCGTGGAGCAGAAGTGCGGTGGTCTTGTTCTTCAAGAAAGGTGACAACGCTCTCTTGAAGAACTACAGACCGATTTCCCTTCTGAGCCGCGTCTACGTGCTGTTTTCGAGAGTCATTACGAATCGTCTCGCGCGCAGACTTGACGACTTCCAGCCTCCCGAACAAGCCGGTTTCCGAAAGGGCTTTAGCACCATAGACCACATACATACCCTTCGGCAAGTTGTACAGAAGTCCGAAGAGTACAATTTGCCACTATGTCTGGCGTATGTGGACTATGAGAAAGCCTTTGATTCCGTCGAAATTTGGGCGGTGCTGCAGTCCCTTCAGCGGTGCCAAGTTGACGTGAAGTGCTTGTACAGTAGGGCTACGATGGCTATCCGAGTACAGAACCGGAGTACGAAACCTATCCAATTGCAGAGAGGTGTAAGACAGGGTGACGTCATATCCCCGAAACTCTTCACCGCTGCATTGGAAGACGTTTTCAAGCTTCTGGACTGGAAAGGATACGGTATCAACATCAATGGCGAGTACATCACTCACCTTCGATTTGCCGACGATATAGTCCTTATGGCAGAATCGCTGGAGGACCTAAGCACTATGCTCAATGACCTCGATAGTGTTTCCCAACGGATAGGTCTTAAGATGAACATGGACAAAACAAAGATCATGTTTAATGTCCATGTCACACCTATGCCGGTAGTTGTTGGGAACACTAAGCTCGAAGTTGTTGACGAGTATGTTTACCTGGGACAAATAGTCCGACTAGGTAAGTCCAACTTCGACCGAGAGGTCAATTGACGGATTCAACTCGGCTGGGCAGCGTTCGGGAAGCTACGACACATCTTCTCGTCAGACATACCTCAAAACCTTAAAACGAAGTTGTACAACCAGTGCGTGTTGCCAGTGATGACTTACGGAACTGAGACGTGGTCCTTCACTGCTGGCCGTATGAGGAAGCTCAAGGTCGCTCAGCGAGTATGGAGAGGGCTATGCTCGGAGTTTCTCTGCGTGATAAACTTAGGAATGAGGATATCCGCAGTAGAACCAGAGTAACCGACATAGCCCAACGGATTAGTAAGCTGAAGTGGCAATGGGCCGGCCATATAGCTCGAAGAACCGACAACCGATGGGGAAGAAAGGTTCTCGAGTGGCAGCCTCGTACCGGTAGGCGAAGTGTAGGGCGTCCCCCCACGAGATGGAGTGACGACCTGGTAAGACATGCAGGAAGTCGATGGATGCAGGTGGCTCAGGACCGTGTTTTGTGGCATTCTTTGGGGGAGGCCTATGTTCAGCAGTGGACTTGTGAAGGGCTGTAATGATGATGATGATGATATATTATAGATTTCTTTTATTAATTCAAATAATTTTATTACTTAAAAAAATAAAATGTAAATCTATGTTAATTTAGTGTCTCACGTCGTTGTCGCGCGTGTCGAGGCACTGTCGGAAGTGGTTGATGCAGGGGTAGTGCAGCTCTGGCGAGGGAGCCGCGCGCCCCAGCACTGCAGCCATACCGCGTGCCCCTGTAATTGGCTCTATGCGCTGTTCCGATGCCTCTATAAAAAAAGAGCATTCACGTCAACTCATGAACTAAAGGAGAGATTTTATCTTTTTATATTATTCATGGCATTAAGGATTTCAAAATATAAATATATAACTTCACCTTAAATTATAATATGAAACAAAAATATGAATTAACACTATTTAGAGAAATTTTTAAATCTACTTTTCAAACGACTTCAAAAAAGAGAAGATTCTCAAAATCTTTTTTTTATGTATGTTCACTGATTACTCGAAGACTTCTTCTTCAGGTGGTCCCATTTAAATTTTATCGAAGTCGGTCGAGCGGTTTTAAAAGTAAATTACATTTATATTGAAATCGGTAGTAAAAAATTTTTAATTTTACCACTTGTTGAATTTTTTTTACGCTTTGCGAATGATGCCTTTGTGATTGGTGACTAATCGTATTGTGCTTTAAGCAAATTTTGATATTAATAAAGAAAAGTAAAAATATTGATAAAAGTTTGATTCATAATCCGAGAAGTTTTACCTACCTGTTATGAGATCTTCTGCACATTGCAATCTTTAAGATACTCGTACAAGGACGGTTGTAAACCTATGTAAATTGCATTTCACCATGCCATGTCATAGTAATTGCATATATATCGTATACAAAAAGTGAATCCTGTGAGTATGTCGGTGTGGTGTGCAGCAGTAGTAGTACGTGTAGGTGAGTGCAGCTGGTGGAGCTGGTGGAGCTGGTGCAGCTGGCGGACCTGTCTTGACGCTGTGCAGGAGCTTGGCGAGCGCGGTCTGCAGCAGGCGCGCGTGGTGCGCGCTGGTGTCGGGCGCGGCGGCGCGGCAGTCGGCGGCGCGCTGCAGCAGCAGCACGCCCGCCTCGGCCGCCGCGCCGCCCTCGCGCAGCACCTCCGTCGCCACGTGCAGCACCGTCGGCAGCAGCGACACCGCGCCTGCACACGCACACACACACACGCATCCTTATTACACAACACACACAAATAAACCTGTATTGCAATCACGAAGCACATGTACGTATCAACTTTCACTTAAATTTACATATTTAAAATCACTAGTAGTCGCCTAGTGGTCGAAATACAACTGTTATTCATATATTTTTAGGTTAATATAATAAAACAAGCCATGTTTTATATATAATATACAGATATCCAATATAGATTATATAAAATTTTGCGGCCGCCCGCAGCGCGCGCGGCGACAGTAACAACAGTAGCGGCGGTGCACGTCACCTTGCGGGCTGGTGAGATCGGTGAGCTGCGACATGGCGGCGAGGCACTTGACGAGCAGCGCGTCGGCGTGCGGGCCAAGGCCGCGCGGCACGCCGATGACGCCGGTGAGGCCGCGGCGCGGGCCAAGCGCGGGCAGCCGCCGCACCACCAGGCACGCGGCCGCCCGCAGCGCACCCGCCGACACGCAGCGCGCGCCGCACACGTCGCCCGTCGGCCCGCCCTCGCCCAGCGTCGCCACCGCCGCCAGCATCGCCTCGGACACACCCTCCGACCCCTCGTTCGCCGACAGCTCTGCGCAGTTACGCTTACGTTAATAATCTTACGCTCACCAGTCGGACTAAGGTAAACTGATACTCATTTGTTACGCATATGGTTGTACAGTGTCATCATTAAAAAGTTAAAAATTTATTATCGGTTTCTAGTGGGTCTAGTATATAATCTTTAATTTGTATAGATTTTAACCTTTTTTTTATTCATAATGATTTCTTATATTTACGCGAAGACTACACATTAAATGAAACTAATTTTTGCGGATTTACGTTTAATTAAACGTAATTGTTCTAGATATTAAGGTTCACTTTTGTATTTATAGGGATTTATTAACAGAGAGACATGTTTACTACTTGGTGATTCATTTGTAACTGATTCAAAAAATTATCCTTTTAAATATTTAACGGACTCAGACATGCCTACACATTCATACTTATCTCTTATATAGATCATTCTATCCGAACATACCGCCCACCAAAGGGCCTATGAGCCCTTTAACAAATTTATTATCAAACAGTACAATCGTTTTTGGTTACAATAGATTGAAAGGTCAGTACACAACTAATTAAACAATACATATAGAATATAGATATACACATTTTGCCTTAGTTATAAATAAAATAAATCATAATTCAATGTCTATTGGTAAATAACACAGCTTATTTACATATCCTTTACACGACATTAGCACCACTTTTTACACTACACACGCTTGACACCGTCAGCACCCGGATGTTTTTTTACAATACGTCCCATCATCCATTTACCTGGGGGCAAACTATCTGATTTTATGAGGACAATATGACCTATGTCAAATTCCTTGACCTTCCTCTTCCATTTCGGACACTGTTGCATTCTCAACAGGTATTCTTGTTGCCATCGACGCCAGAAGTCTGTCAACAATCTTTGTTGGTATTGCCATCTTGATAAGTGACTTGTTGGGATGTCTTGGAGGTCTGGTGTCGGAACCGTAATAGGCGTCTCACTGACAAGGAAATGGCCAGGCTTTAAAAGTTGGATGTTGTCTGTGTCCGTTTCCCTTAATACGTTAAGCGGCCGTGAGTTGAGGCAAGCTTCAATCTGACATAACAAGGTGCTCATCTCTTCGTACGTTACGTGAGAGGTCATTATCCGTTTTAAATGGTTTTTCATCGATTTGATTCCCGCCTGCCACAGTCCACCCATGTGTGGGCTATAGGCGGGAATAAAATGCCATTCAGTTCCATCCATTGCTAGCGTCTCAGTAATTGGACCCTCGAATTGAAGTTTGGCTTCAGCCCATTCTGCAGCGAGTATCCTGTATGTCCCAAAAAAATTACATCCTTGGTTACTCCAGACGTGAGCGCATCTTCCACGTCTAGCTACGAATCTTTTGAAGGCTCCGATGAAGGCATCTGAGGTAAGATCTCCCACTAATTCTAAGTGGATCGCTTTCGTCGACATAGAGACAAAGAGAGCAATGGATTCTTTGTTTGTCCTTGCTCCTCTTCCTCTAGATATCAAGATATGGAACGGGCTGGCAAAATCCATGCCGGTATTTAAAAAGGGTTTAGCTGGTGAGACTCGAACTCGAAGTAAATCTCCCATTTGTTGTGACCTTGCTGTAGCGTTAAGTTTTGCACAAATAAGACATTTTCTGATCTTTGATTTTACTAATATTCTAGCTCTTGGGATCCAGAATCTTGTTCGTAGAAAGCAGAGCAATACTTGAACTCCACCATGTAGCGTCTTAGAGTGTGCGTCAGTAACGAGAAGAGAAGTAAGATGGGTGTCGTGATCATTGGATTTTTGCTGTCTTCATTAGGTCCGAGTGACGCAGTCGGCCGCCCACCCTGAGGATGTTATCATCGTCCAGGTAAGGCTTTAAACTCTTTAGTTTACTGGCTCTTTTAATTTGTTCCTTTGATTTCAGGTGCCGTATATCTTCTTCGAAGCTGTCCTTCTGAGTTATTTTTATGCAGGCTTTTAGCGCATCATTGAGTTCGGTCGTGGTCACAGGTAAGTCTTTGTATTCCATTTTCTTTCCCTTTAAGAATCTTTTGGTATATATAATCACCTTAAGCAATTCTTGCAATTTGTCACAATCCTCAAATTTTGTACTAATACTCTAATACTCTTTGTCTAATTTCAAATTTACAGGTATTGATTTCTTTCTTTCCAGGTCTGTCCAGGTTGTATTGGGCCTGCTGTATTGGATTTCCCCTACTCTCAGCCAATCTGGGCCTTTCCACCACCGTTCATCATTTTTTAGGATGATAGCACTCCCCGTGATAAATGCGAAAGAAAATGCAAAGAGATGCAACATTTCTTCGCAGCGCCAATGAGTCGAGCCGATCGGAAAGGACTCGGTCGTCGACGATTCGAGCCGCTTTGCGTTGGATGCGGACAAGTGGAAGGAGCTGGCACTGGGGAGCCCCAGCCCAGAGATGGGAACAGTATTCCATGTGAGGCCGAACCTAAGCCTTGTAAAGTTGCAGGCGTTGTGCCGGCATGAAATACTGTCTATCTGTACTCGTTCTCGAAACCAGCGGGCAGATCGCGCAACACTATAGCGGCGTAGTGATGTGTTCATGGTTGTGTTGTCGAAATATTTGTTTTTATTATATTATGTCTGAACAACGGCGACAACATTTTTTTGTTTTAAATTTATTCATAACGCTCAATTTATTGTGGGCAAAAGAAAAAGTGAATCCCTACTATAGGGCAAGGAAAAATAAAGGCGAGTTTTATCGAAATTACGATATCGAAGTACGATGATTAGTTATTTCTACAATCACAGATTTGTTATTATTTGAAAGTATTTTTTATTATAAGGTTGATATAGCTAGTGTTGAGTATATTATACCCATATATGATTCATTAGAAGGCATGTACCCATGCCTTCATTTACCCTTAACTCGTCTAGAAGAGCTTGATTAATTTTTTGTCTCACGCTAAACTTTTGTACTGGCGTGAATTTTTCTATTTGTGGAAGCAAACTCGTTAAAAGTAGTATTCTAAAATAAATTTGCTCTTGCACGGCCGAGGAGATTTCGACACGTCACAAAAATAAATTGCACAACACTGCAATGCAGACGCGCGGGCGGTGGAGTGACCGTTCGTTGGCCGCCCCCGCGCCGCTGCCGCGCCGCTGTGTGCGAGGGTCGCTCCATTTGATTTTACGGATAAGATCCTGCCACTCCCGCGCCGCCGCCGCGCCGCTGTGTGCGAGGGTCGCTCCATTTGATTTTACGGATAAGATCCTGCCACTCCCGCGCCGCCGCCGCGCCGCTGTGTGCGAGGGTCGCTCCATTTGATTTTACGGATAAGATCCTGCCACTCCCGCGCCGCCGCCGCGCCGCTGTGTGCGAGGGTCGCTCCATTTGATTTTACGGATAAGATCCTGCCACTCCCGCGCCGCCGCCGCGCCGCTGTGTGCGAGGGTCGCTCCATTTGATTTTACGGATAAGATCCTGCCACTCCCGCGCCGCCGCCGCGCCGCTGTGTGCGAGGGTCGCTCCATTTGATTTTACGGATAAGATCCTGCCACTCACGCGCCGCCGCCGCGCCGCTGTGTGCGAGGGTCGCTCCATTTGATTTTACGGATAAGATCCTGCCACTCCCGCGCCGCCGCCGCGCCGCTGTGTGCGAGGGTCGCTCCATTTGATTTTACGGATAAGATCCTGCCACTCCCGCGCGCCGCCGCGCCGCTGTGTGCGAGGGTCGCTCCATTTGATTTTACGGATAAGATCCTGCCACTCCCGCGCCGCCGCCGCCGCCGCCCCGCTGCCCGCAAGATTCGAAGCAGAGGCCTTAGAGACAAAAGCTGTCTTCCATGATTTCGGGACTACGCCTAGAGAGAGTAGGAGTACCGGAAAAAACGCATTAGAACCGGTGCCAACTACGGAGCACACGTCCTCTGACTCCTGAGGCCCACTCGACTTGTGGATGTCCAGGGAGAGGAGTGCTCTGCGAACCGAGCGCCATGAGAACCGCACATCCGGCATGGAGCACTCACAAAGCGGGATGGTCGGCGGTATGTTCCCCCCGTCATCAACAGTCGAGTTGGACGCATAAAGGGAGCCTAAAAGGTCGCCTTTCTCTTTCGCGTCGTAGGCCAGTGAGTCGTCCTCCCTGTGCAGAGATGGTAGTAATGGCTTACAAAAATTCCCTTGGACAGCCTTGGCGAAAGACCAGAATACACGGGTTCCCGAAGGAAGGCGAACTAGTTTCTCGCCAATTCTGCCTATGTACTCTGACTTTGCCCTGGCAATAACTCTTTTGAAGGACCAGGAGGCGAAGTTATACTTCTTTTTAAGTAGGTTGGTGTTTACATCCCGAGTCGCCAAAGCCGCAGCTCAGGCTTGATAACACTCCTGCTTACTGCGTAATGCAATCTTACAGGAGCGTCCATACCAAGGCTGAGATCTGCCTCCGATGGGTACCACAGATGATGGAATAAATAGTTCCATTCCCTGTAGCACCACATCAGTGACAGTCAGCAACAGCGCTGGGATCATCCGGCGAGAAGCAAACCCGCCCCCATGGGTAGGAAGCAAAGAAAGACCGCATTCCGTCCCAATCCGCCGACCTGTAATGCCAAACACGGCGGCAACCTGCAGAACGCAACCGCGAAGGAAGCGTGAGTGGCACTACACTCCGGATCAGACAATGGTCCGAAGAGCCAAGAGGGGCATCGACGGAAACCTGATATCCGTCCGGATGAGAGGTCAGCAGAAGGTCCAACAGGAAAGGTGTATGATCCTCAACATCTGGAATCCGCGTAGGCGATGTAACCAGTTGTGTCAGACCATATGCTAAGGCAAAGTCATAAACAGATCTCCCTGCATGATCGATTAAACGTGAACCGAGCCATTCGGCGTGGTAGGCGTTAAAATCGTCAAGGATCACGATCTCTGCAGATGGGACCTGTTGTAGCAAGGAATCTGTAGCCATTTGGACGTAGTCGATGAATCGGTCTGTTTCGGCATTACCGCTATGGGACCTATAGAGGCACCCGTAGACGCGCGGATGGTCGTCGCTGTCTACGCGTAGCCAAAGGATGGACAGGTCCGAACGTTGTGCCGAGGCGTCGAGAACAGATGTCCTCTCTAACGTATACGCAAACTCCAGCCCGAGGCACAAAGGAGTGCTCCAATTTGTACCCCGGGTAGGAGAGATACGAAGTATCAGCTGGAGAGGACACCTGCGTCTCGGTCAGAAAGAACAAGGCCGGCTTCGCCGTCTCGAGATGGTAGTGGACGGCGTTTAGGTTCGAGTGAAGTCCCCTGATGCATGCTATTCCACTCCTGAGCGGGGCAGCCTGAGCACCCACGCTCAGGAGTGGAATAGCATGGTCGTGGATGCTCCGCGAGGGATTCTCCAGGGGTGCTGGTATCCTCCTAGGGTAGTCTATGATGTAATTGCGCTACCATGTTGATGGGGGGGGGGGGGGGGGATTGGGCCTCCGGTCACCTGCACTCACCAGACGAAACGCGGAAGCAGAGCTTCCACTTCACGCCGGTATTCTGTGAGGTCGTGGTACTAACCAGGCTCGAGCCGGCCCATACGTGCAACAGCAAAAGCTGCTGCATGGCTCTACCACCGTTAATCTTTAGATTTTCCTAACAAATTAACTTCCCCTGCTATAGAATCTGACTTATTTAATCTCCTGGTGTCATAGCAAACATGCACTACCACTTCAACTTTTGAATACTAATTTTTAGTCCGATCTACACAGAATAAGCTAACTGCGTCTTGAATTTTTGTTATTACCAAATAAATGAGAAGTAACAAATTGTTCAGTTTCTTTCAAAAAAGATAACAAACTACTAAAAAGATATGAAAATTTCGTAATACCTTTAATCTTAGCTTGCATGCTAGCGTGAAGTTGTTCCTTGCCGCCAAGAATGATCAGCTGCAGTATGTCGGCGGCTAGCAGCAACGCCTCGATGTTGTCTTGAGTGAGGCCTATCCGATGAATAATTTGGCACAGTTCTATCGCCAGTGCTCTAGAAATTAAGAAAAAATCCTTATATTCCTTTATTTCGTTCACATTCCCATGACACATACTAAATCTATCTCGATTGCGCAAAATTCATTGTGTTACAAGCGACCTATCATCCCGATCAATACATTATATTATGATATAATGCTCCTACTCCTAAAAAAATTATAATTTTTTTTTATAAGAAGCATGTTTAGATGTCCCATACGCAAACGCAATATCAATCGCGATAACATCTCGGGTCGTTCAAAAAGTCATAGATTCTTGCTCAAGCTTAAAAGTAAAGTTATACACCATATATCCTACCAGAGCAGGTTAATAATTTGCGTTAGTGCCAGATAATTTGTGACATACCACTGTGTAAATGTAAATACCACTACTACAGTGCAATAAGTATGCAACACTATCCAACAGTTACAACATTATCATATTCTTTTATTTATAGAACTCATCATCATCATCATCATTACAGCCTTTCATAAGTCCACTGCTGAACATAGGCCTCCCCCAAGGAATGCCACAAGGCACGGTCCTAAGCCACCTGCATCCAACGACTTCCTGCATGTCTTACCAGGTCGTCAATCCATCTCGTGGGGGGTCGCCCTACACTTCGCCTACCGGTACGAGGCTGCCACTCAAGAACCTCTCTTCCCCATCGGTTGTCGGTTCTTCGAGCTATATGGCCGGCCCACTGCCACTTCAGCTTACTAATCCGTTGGGCTATGTCGGTTACTCTGGTTCTACTGCGGATATACTCATTACTAAGTTTATCACGCAGAGCAACCCCGCGCATAGCCCTCTCTCTATATAGCTCGCTGAGCGACTTTGAACTTCCTCATACAGCCAGCAGTGAAGGACCACGTCTCAGATCCGTAAGTCATCACTGGCAACACGCACTGGTTGTACAATTTCGTTTTAAGGTTTTGAGGTATGTCTGACAAGAAAATGTGTCGTAGTTTCCCGAACGTTGCCCAGCCGAGTTAAATCCGTCGATTGACTTCTCGGTCGAAGTTGGACTTACCTAGTCGGACTATTTGTCCCAGGTAAACATACTCGTCAACAACTTCGAGCTTAGTGCTCCCAACTACTATAGGTGTGACATGGACATTAAACATGATCTTTGTTTTGTCCATGTTCATCCTAAGACCTATTCGTTTGGAGACACTATTGAGGTCATTGAGCATGATGCTTAGGTCCTCCAGCGATTCTGCCATAAGGACTATATCGTCGGCAAATCGAAGGTGAGTGACGTACTCGCCATTGATGTTAATACCGTATCATTTCCAGTCCAGAAGCTTGAAAACGTCTTCCAATGCAGCGGTGAAGAGTTTCGGGGATATAACATCACCCTGTCTTACACCTCTCTGCAATTGGATAAGTTTCGTACTCTGGTTCTGTACTCGGATAGCCATCGTAGCTCTACTGTACAAACACTTCAGCACTTCGATATACCGACAGTCAACTTGGCACCGCTGAAGGGACTGCAGCACCGCCCAAATTTCGACGGAATCAAAGGCTTTCTCATAGTCCACATACGCCAGACATAGTGGCAAATTGTACTCTTCGGACTTCTGTACAATTTGCCGAAGGGTATGTATGTGGTCTATGGTGCTAAAGCTCTTTCGGAAACCGGCTTGTTCGGGAGGCTGGAAGTCGTCAAGTCTGCACGCGTGACGATTCATAATGACTATCGAAAACAGCACAAAGACGCGGCTCGGAAGGGAAATCGGTCTATAGTTCTTCAAGAGAGCGTTGTCACCTTTCTTGAATAACAAGACCGCACTTCTGCTCCACGCCTCTGGTGTAATGCCACCATGGAGGACGGAAATAAAGAGCTTTCTTTAATTCCGTCCTCCATGGTGGCTCGTAAAATTCCGCTCAACACAATAACTGCTCGTGGCAAACTGAGCAACAAGACCAAGGCGACCCCTGCCATGCTATCCGTGAATTTCTGCAACATCAGGGGACTTCCACCCGCTTTCAGAAGCTCCGCTGTAATTCCATCATCGCCTGGGGCCTTGTCGTTTTTAAGGTGCTGGAAAGCCATTCTAATCTCGCTCAGACTGACATCCGGGATATCTTCGGAATAGTGTCGGATAAGACTCGCTCTTGGATCGTTACTCACACTTGCGTGTGGCTCCAACGATGACGTGTACAGCTGCCCATAGAACCTCTCAATCTCACTCAAAATCTCAGGTGCCCCGGAAACGATGCTGCCACACTCGGTGTTCAGCTTTACAGTTGGCTCTTTCTGGCCGACAGATCTCTGGCAAAGACTTTGGAGCCTTGGTTCCGCTCGATCGCTTCTTCAATACAAGCTGTATTGAAGTTGCGTAAGTCCCGCGGCATGCATTTGGAGATCTGTCTGTTCAGTTGCCTGTATGCTGTCAAATCTGTTGAAGAATGTAACTTCATCTCCCGTCTAACAGCCATGAGATTGAGAGTGTGATCGGAGAGTTTTTGTGTTCTTCTGCGGCGGGTCTTGCAGAACTTAGCTCCGACCGCATGAACAGTTTCCACGAGCTTGTCATTCATATTGTCTACTTCATTGCAGTCTTCTAGGCACTGAAAACGGTTTTGCAACTCGAGCTGAAAGGTTTCGGGACTTTGGAACAGAGCACTAGGGGGGCGGAGCGTTGACTTCATTAGACGAGACCTCTCCAACTTAACGTTTAGGTTCAGTGTGCCTCTAGCCATTCGGTGATCGCTACCAGTTTTCACCCTCGCGATCACGGAGACATCACTGAACAGTTGTCGTCTGGTCGTCATAATGAAGTCAATCTCATTTTTTGTGGAACCGTCGGGGCTCGACCAGGTCCACTTCCTGTGGGTTTCTTATTATATATTATATATTCTTAGAACTGTCCTTCCAATATGTAAAATGTTTGCTTACTTGTCTTTAAACAATCTTGCTCTATTTTCCGGAGCGTCCAGCAGAGTCACCAACGACAAAAGCACAGAAACTGTGTTGCTATCGCTTATATCGCGTTGTGCACACAATGCCTCCATACATATACCTGTAAAAATGATAATAAGGTAATTTAATATTTTTGTACAATAATATGTAAATAGCCTTCGATGAAACAAGTAGTAACAAATATTAATAATAATATAATATTATTAACATGTAAATGTTATTAATATTATATCATTATTAATATTATAAAAGTGACTATAAATAATCGATGATTAATAAAATACAACTAATAAATCAAATTAGTTGTATAAAAAATATTTAAAGCTTACCGAAAAGTAAATGAAATCTTTCATCCACAGGTTCGAAAAATTCAAAGTTGCCATTTTCTGTTTTAGTTGATCTGTTGTCCACAGTGTTATCAGTTTTATCTGAAAAAGATATTGTTTATATTGTAAATATAGGCAGTACAAACAATTTTTTCGGTCTTGAGAGTCTTGTTTTGGATCAGAAGAGTAATGAGTCGTTTAATGTATGTGTGTATGGATGATTACCTTTGGCACGCTATGTAGTATAAACGGCTTGGCGGATTTTGAGATTTTAACATATGGCTTGTCATTAGATTTGTCTTATATCAGTAGACTCTTTTTATGTATTTTTAATTACTATTTTAACCATTGGACTTGACTTGAATGGCTGGATGCACCTTGGTACTTATGCAAGATTGATATTTAGAGAGTATGTTGTTTTATTTTCTCTTCACAATAATTTATTCCATAAATTATATATACTGGATGACTTTTTTACCGTCTGGAAAAAAATAGGGTGTGTGCACTTAGTGCGGCCGCGACGCGAACTCTGCACGACACACCCACACCCACAGCTTCACTGTACTCACTGGCGGCGAGGTCCCGGAAGCAGGCGTTGTAGCGCAGCGCGGCGGCGTACAGCAGCTGCGGCCAGGCGCGCGCGTAGTGCGGCCGCGACGCGAACTCTGCACGACACACCCACACCCACACCCACAGCTTCACTGTACTCACTGGCGGCGAGGTCCCGGAAGCAGGCGTTGTAGCGCAGCGCGGCGGCGTACAGCAGCTGCGGCCAGGCGCGCGCGTAGTGCGGCCGCGACGCGAACTCTGCACGACACACCCACACCCACAGCTTCACTGTACTCACTGGCGGCGAGGTCCCGGAAGCAGGCGTTGTAGCGCAGCGCGGCGGCGTACAGCAGCTGCGGCCAGGCGCGCGCGTAGTGCGGCCGCGACGCGAACTCTGCACGACACACCCACACCCACACCCACAGCTTCACTGTACTCACTGGCGGCGAGGTCCCGGAAGCAGGCGTTGTAGCGCAGCGCGGCGGCGTACAGCAGCTGCGGCCAGGCGCGCGCGTAGTGCGGCCGCGACGCGAACTCTGCACGACACACCCACACCCACAGCTTCACTGTACTCACTGGCGGCGAGGTCCCGGAAGCAGGCGTTGTAGCGCAGCGCGGCGGCGTACAGCAGCTGCGGCCAGGCGCGCGCGTAGTGCGGCCGCGACGCGAACTCTGCACGACACACCCACACCCACACCCACAGCTTCACTGTACTCACTGGCGGCGAGGTCCCGGAAGCAGGCGTTGTAGCGCAGCGCGGCGGCGTACAGCAGCTGCGGCCAGGCGCGCGCGTAGTGCGGCCGCGACGCGAACTCTGCACGACACACCCACACCCACAGCTTCACTGTACTCACTGGCGGCGAGGTCCCGGAAGCAGGCGTTGTAGCGCAGCGCGGCGGCGTACAGCAGCTGCGGCCAGGCGCGCGCGTAGTGCGGCCGCGACGCGAACTCTGCACGACACACCCACACCCACACCCACAGCTTCACTGTACTCACTGGCGGCGAGGTCCCGGAAGCAGGCGTTGTAGCGCAGCGCGGCGGCGTACAGCAGCTGCGGCCAGGCGCGCGCGTAGTGCGGCCGCGACGCGAACTCTGCACGACACACCCACACCCACACCCACAGCTTCACTGTACTCACTGGCGGCGAGGTCCCGGAAGCAGGCGTTGTAGCGCAGCGCGGCGGCGTACAGCAGCTGCGGCCAGGCGCGCGCGTAGTGCGGCCGCGACGCGAACTCTGCACGACACACCCACACCCACAGCTTCACTGTACTCACTGGCGGCGAGGTCCCGGAAGCAGGCGTTGTAGCGCAGCGCGGCGGCGTACAGCAGCTGCGGCCAGGCGCGCGCGTAGTGCGGCCGCGACGCGAACTCTGCACGACACACCCACACCCACACCCACAGCTTCACTGTACTCACTGGCGGCGAGGTCCCGGAAGCAGGCGTTGTAGCGCAGCGCGGCGGCGTACAGCAGCTGCGGCCAGGCGCGCGCGTAGTGCGGCCGCGACGCGAACTCTGCACGACACACCCACACCCACAGCTTCACTGTACTCACTGGCGGCGAGGTCCCGGAAGCAGGCGTTGTAGCGCAGCGCGGCGGCGTACAGCAGCTGCGGCCAGGCGCGCGCGTAGTGCGGCCGCGACGCGAACTCTGCACGACACACCCACACCCACAGCTTCACTGTACTCACTGGCGGCGAGGTCCCGGAAGCAGGCGTTGTAGCGCAGCGCGGCGGCGTACAGCAGCTGCGGCCAGGCGCGCGCGTAGTGCGGCCGCGACGCGAACTCTGCACGACACACCCACACCCACAGCTTCACTGTACTCACTGGCGGCGAGGTCCCGGAAGCAGGCGTTGTAGCGCAGCGCGGCGGCGTACAGCAGCTGCGGCCAGGCGCGCGCGTAGTGCGGCCGCGACGCGAACTCTGCACGACACACCCACACCCACACCCACAGCTTCACTGTACTCACTGGCGGCGAGGTCCCGGAAGCAGGCGTTGTAGCGCAGCGCGGCGGCGTACAGCAGCTGCGGCCAGGCGCGCGCGTAGTGCGGCCGCGACGCGAACTCTGCACGACACACCCACACCCACACCCACAGCTTCACTGTACTCACTGGCGGCGAGGTCCCGGAAGCAGGCGTTGTAGCGCAGCGCGGCGGCGTACAGCAGCTGCGGCCAGGCGCGCGCGTAGTGCGGCCGCGACGCGAACTCTGCACGACACACCCACATCCACACCCACAGCTTCACTGTACTCACTGGCGGCGAGGTCCCGGAAGCAGGCGTTGTAGCGCAGCGCGGCGGCGTACAGCAGCTGCGGCCAGGCGCGCGCGTAGTGCGGCCGCGACGCGAACTCTGCACGACACACCCACACCCACAGCTTCACTGTACTCACTGGCGGCGAGGTCCCGGAAGCAGGCGTTGTAGCGCAGCGCGGCGGCGTACAGCAGCTGCGGCCAGGCGCGCGCGTAGTGCGGCCGCGACGCGAACTCTGCACGACACACCCACACCCACAGCTTCACTGTACTCACTGGCGGCGAGGTCCCGGAAGCAGGCGTTGTAGCGCAGCGCGGCGGCGTACAGCAGCTGCGGCCAGGCGCGCGCGTAGTGCGGCCGCGACGCGAACTCTGCACGACACACCCACACCCACAGCTTCACTGTACTCACTGGCGGCGAGGTCCCGGAAGCAGGCGTTGTAGCGCAGCGCGGCGGCGTACAGCAGCTGCGGCCAGGCGCGCGCGTAGTGCGGCCGCGACGCGAACTCTGCACGACACACCCACACCCACAGCTTCACTGTACTCACTGGCGGCGAGGTCCCGGAAGCAGGCGTTGTAGCGCAGCGCGGCGGCGTACAGCAGCTGCGGCCAGGCGCGCGCGTAGTGCGGCCGCGACGCGAACTCTGCACGACACACCCACACCCACAGCTTCACTGTACTCACTGGCGGCGAGGTCCCGGAAGCAGGCGTTGTAGCGCAGCGCGGCGGCGTACAGCAGCTGCGGCCAGGCGCGCGCGTAGTGCGGCCGCGACGCGAACTCTGCACGACACACCCACACCCACAGCTTCACTGTACTCACTGGCGGCGAGGTCCCGGAAGCAGGCGTTGTAGCGCAGCGCGGCGGCGTACAGCAGCTGCGGCCAGGCGCGCGCGTAGTGCGGCCGCGACGCGAACTCTGCACGACACACCCACACCCACAGCTTCACTGTACTCACTGGCGGCGAGGTCCCGGAAGCAGGCGTTGTAGCGCAGCGCGGCGGCGTACAGCAGCTGCGGCCAGGCGCGCGCGTAGTGCGGCCGCGACGCGAACTCTGCACGACACACCCACACCCACAGCTTCACTGTACTCACTGGCGGCGAGGTCCCGGAAGCAGGCGTTGTAGCGCAGCGCGGCGGCGTACAGCAGCTGCGGCCAGGCGCGCGCGTAGTGCGGCCGCGACGCGAACTCTGCACGACACACCCACACCCACAGCTTCACTGTACTCACTGGCGGCGAGGTCCCGGAAGCAGGCGTTGTAGCGCAGCGCGGCGGCGTACAGCAGCTGCGGCCAGGCGCGCGCGTAGTGCGGCCGCGACGCGAACTCTGCACGACACACCCACACCCACACCCACAGCTTCACTGTACTCACTGGCGGCGAGGTCCCGGAAGCAGGCGTTGTAGCGCAGCGCGGCGGCGTACAGCAGCTGCGGCCAGGCGCGCGCGTAGTGCGGCCGCGACGCGAACTCTGCACGACACACCCACACCCACAGCTTCACTGTACTCACTGGCGGCGAGGTCCCGGAAGCAGGCGTTGTAGCGCAGCGCGGCGGCGTACAGCAGCTGCGGCCAGGCGCGCGCGTAGTGCGGCCGCGACGCGAACTCTGCACGACACACCCACACCCACACCCACAGCTTCACTGTACTCACTGGCGGCGAGGTCCCGGAAGCAGGCGTTGTAGCGCAGCGCGGCGGCGTACAGCAGCTGCGGCCAGGCGCGCGCGTAGTGCGGCCGCGACGCGAACTCTGCACGACACACCCACACCCACAGCTTCACTGTACTCACTGGCGGCGAGGTCCCGGAAGCAGGCGTTGTAGCGCAGCGCGGCGGCGTACAGCAGCTGCGGCCAGGCGCGCGCGTAGTGCGGCCGCGACGCGAACTCTTCACGACACACCCACACCCACAGCTTCACTGTACTCACTGGCGGCGAGGTCCCGGAAGCAGGCGTTGTAGCGCAGCGCGGCGGCGTACAGCAGCTGCGGCCAGGCGCGCGCGTAGTGCGGCCGCGACGCGAACTCTGCACGACACACCCACACCCACAGCTTCACTGTACTCACTGGCGGCGAGGTCCCGGAAGCAGGCGTTGTAGCGCAGCGCGGCGGCGTACAGCAGCTGCGGCCAGGCGCGCGCGTAGTGCGGCCGCGACGCGAACTCTGCACGACACACCCACACCCACAGCTTCACTGTACTCACTGGCGGCGAGGTCCCGGAAGCAGGCGTTGTAGCGCAGCGCGGCGGCGTACAGCAGCTGCGGCCAGGCGCGCGCGTAGTGCGGCCGCGACGCGAACTCTGCACGACACACCCACACCCACAGCTTCACTGTACTCACTGGCGGCGAGGTCCCGGAAGCAGGCGTTGTAGCGCAGCGCGGCGGCGTACAGCAGCTGCGGCCAGGCGCGCGCGTAGTGCGGCCGCGACGCGAACTCTGCACGACACACCCACACCCACACCCACAGCTTCACTGTACTCACTGGCGGCGAGGTCCCGGAAGCAGGCGTTGTAGCGCAGCGCGGCGGCGTACAGCAGCTGCGGCCAGGCGCGCGCGTAGTGCGGCCGCGACGCGAACTCTGCACGACACACCCACACCCACAGCTTCACTGTACTCACTGGCGGCGAGGTCCCGGAAGCAGGCGTTGTAGCGCAGCGCGGCGGCGTACAGCAGCTGCGGCCAGGCGCGCGCGTAGTGCGGCCGCGACGCGAACTCTGCACGACACACCCACACCCACACCCACAGCTTCACTGTACTCACTGGCGGCGAGGTCCCGGAAGCAGGCGTTGTAGCGCAGCGCGGCGGCGTACAGCAGCTGCGGCCAGGCGCGCGCGTAGTGCGGCCGCGACGCGAACTCTGCACGACACACCCACACCCACACCCACAGCTTCACTGTACTCACTGGCGGCGAGG